AAAATAAATGAGTACAACGCTGTTTAATAACAGTAAATTTATAGTTGAAACAAAAAGATATCGCCAATTTGTTTTGCTTTCATTTAAGAATGCACCATATTCTGCTTACCTGCACCAGTCGCATTGCATGAGTTTTTTTACAACGTTCTAATAAAGCAATGCAAAAATCAGCCAGTGATGATTCTTTGCCGTGATAGGTCGTGATCAAATTAAGCACTGGAAGATAATCACATTTTTAATTCCAACTAAATCATCTGTTGCTAACAGTTAAATACCACTTTTAGTAATTTTATTGGAATGGTACAAAGAGGGAAGTATAAAGAAGGAATATAAGCAAGGGGTAGGCAAGCAGAAATTTTCACGTGTTCACGAAAAGAACAAAAAATACCTTCAGAAATAATCGTTGTGTCATCTCTTTCGATTGCCGCACCCATCAAATCAAACTGACCATACACCGAATTTTTTTGAGCACTAATTATTTTCAATAAATCGAGAGCTTGCCTTAGATCACCTCTATAAAAAAAAGATTTAAGATTCATTTCTCACAAGATTTGGCCATATCATTTAAATCCGGTCTTTCAGAAAGAAAAAAGGTAAAGATATATTCATTAATTCGACGCCCTCATTAAAAAAAATAATGATTCCTAAAAAAAGAACTCACTTTTGAAAACTCACGTTTTTCATTAAAAAAAACGCTTGCGCACATAAAGATAATGATCTTTAAAAACTCACTTTTCAATTAATTGGTGAAATGCGTTAACTCTTGTATTATATAAAAGCTCCTGCTTAACATTTAAATGCAGATCCAGTACCTTACTAGTTTCATTTAAGAACATAATTCGCACATCTGATGCGTCCGATGAGTCGTACTGCAACAGCAAAGAAAGAAATAGCGGACAATTCTACTTAACAACGGCATATTTTATTCAAAGCTTGATTAATTGATTCACTTGCTTGAAAAATACTTCAAATAAGGTGTTTTTGTCAATTTTTGCAACAGAATTATTGCGACTCTATAGAGAAACAGAAAAATCTAACAGCAGCAAGCACATGATAGGAAAGATCTTCATGGAATTCGTTAAGTTTCAAAAGGACGCATTTAAATTGATCCATCATTTTCGAATAATATAGTTTTTCAGCCAACAATAACCCTATAGATGGAGATGCATGCTCCGATCTGTAAATGAACAAAACTTTATTTCAGAATATACAAAAATCTCACTAAACTGAGGTATATAAAGACTAATGAAAGTAAAATTAGTATATTAAATGGAGCGATGAATAAAACGACCGATTTCAAAAATTTCCTTAGCATTCAATATACTAAATAAGATCTAGTATAACTTAAAAAGCTACCCAGAAACCCAAATTTCCTTTGCCTTTTCCAAATCATCATTATCAAGTGCATTCTGCAGTTCTGCTTCTATGCGTTTTCGACTCGCATTTTCTATCTTCCCCATAGACTTTTGCCTGGTAACACGACTTGTTGCAACCTGCATTTCGAAAATTTTATACCTCAACAAAAATATAAAAATTGATTTAAAGTAGATTAAGTGAAAAAAGTCGTTCTTCAAGTAAATAAACCAACCCCCCAAAAACCAAATTTCTTGAAAATATTATACAACAAACTGAAAAGATTACCATGTCTAAATTGTTTAATTTCTTATTCGTGCAATGTTTACTTCTTCGAACTTTTGTATTCAAAGACGATTCCTAAGACTTCAAATTTTATGCATTGTTGAAATTTATTGAAGGAAAAAAAAAGCATTCAGGAACGAACTTTAGCCACAGCCGTTATATAAATAAATTATTAAAATAAAAGGCTGGTATCATGAATGTGGCTTTACCTTTTCCAATAATGTAATTACAAACTGTTTCTTTGAGATTTCACCATTTCCATCAAGAGTATGCAAAAGATCGTCTTTGTCGATTTTTCGAAGAACAATTCGTTTATCAGCAGACCACAATTCACACATCATTTTGACTTTATTCAAATCACCCGCAACGATGGCTGCTTTGATTATTTGCATTCCCTTTCCATACTGACGATTATTGCTCGCACCGGGTACTAAAATAATGAATTCCTAGAGATGAAGTAATTATTACTAAAATTAAATTGAATGGGTTGAAATAAAAATGGGAAGGGTAGAAAAAACAAAGTAGTAAGGAGATGAATTTACATGGAAAAAGCAGCCGTAAAAGACTGCAAACTGGAATAAGGCTTTTGTTGTAAACTGACGTGTTGAGAACAAGATTTTTCACTTCTCGATAAGGATATGCCTCGCCTGCTGAAGAATTCTTCAAAACCCTTAAAACGAAGAAAAAAGAATGTCGATCCAAATGAAACATGATAAGTGAAGAAAACAACTAATGTGCAAAGCGATACGCAAATCGATCTGCACTACTCACCCATGAAGCAGTAATTGAAGTTGTTGCATTTGTTTCGTTGCCAACAAATAAGTAATGAGAACGTCAACCACAAAACACTGCAGGGAGTTATCATTTTTAACTTTTTGCATCAACTGCGGCAGAATATTCATATCTCAAATTGATAATTAATGCAGTTCATTACTATCTGCTAAACGACAACTTTCAAATGCTCATTTCATGTATTCTGCAAAAGATCTTCGGTTGTTCAGCTGGAACACTTTAAGATGTTAGCAAATTAAATAGCCAGTCATATGATGAAATATTTATGGAAAAATCAAAAGGCCATATATACACAGAGAATGCTGCTGAATAAAAATACTGACAGAACATGATTGATGTAAACGATTACATAAATGATGCATTACCTCTCAAAAGCGGAACAATGAACAAATCTTTCACATTTACAAAATGTCTGTCACCACAAGATGCAATTCCAGTAATCCGAAGCGAACGTGCAATCTCTGATAAGTGTTCAACTTTCTTATCTGTTGTTTCAGCTTTCATCAACTGAAAAAAGTCGAAGTTTACACCAAGTAAGCAGCACTGTCGATGTATAAAGCAAGGAAGAAAACAATTTATTCAAACAGTTCATGTTAAAGTCGGAAAGGATCATTTATCTGCAACCAAAAAGATCATTTATCTGCAACCAAAAACTTAAGCCTGCATTCAACAGAAAGTGAGAAAGGTTGTATAATTTCATAAAATTCATTGGATGATAATGATCATTTTAATTTCTCATAAATCATGAAAGTTCTCCTTGCTACCAGTACACTCCATTTATATATGTTGAACTGTTTTTTAAGATATCGTATGCATAACCTTTCCTAATGCAGAATCATGTTTATGTGTTTAGCTGAAAGTATGGTAAATGACAGGATTAAGCTGTATTAACAGCTTTGAGATTACAGAATTAAACATTTTTGAATTTTGATCAAATTTTCTTTCTGCTGAACTATTTTAATAAGTTTGCGATAATGTTCGACAATTCACCTCACTGAAATGTAGTGCGGCGACTGGAAGTTGTAAATGAGGACGATTCTGCAATTCTACAAAATCATCCGTTCGCTTATAAATTGCGAAGAGGTCGTGAAAATCCATGGGAGTATTTAAAGCTACGTCGTTTAAATAGATTCGAAATGGATGCCTGCAGCATTTCAATATTTACAAATACAGAATTTAAGTGAAAAAATTGCAGATGAAAACAAAAAAAGGATTTACTTCAAAATATTGCATTTCTGGAAGACTATGCATACTCTTACAACTTCTGCAATCTGCTTCTTCTGAATAGACGATAAGAACTGCTTTTTTAAAATGGATCGCAATTTTGACCTTAAAAAACAAAATACAGAACAAGATAATATGACCCAGCAGCCTGATATTGTATTTACTTCCCATTGTTCATATCCAGAATGACAGCTTTAAAATTTTAAAAAGTTGGTAAATATTAATCAGTATAACAGACAGGTAGTTAAGTATAGAATTCTTCAAATTTTTTTGAAGCTAGTAGTAAAGAGGTCCAAAAAAATCTTGCTCAATCTGGTAAAATCAAATGTGGAAAATCAAATGTATCAAACCTGACTAAATATATACTAAGTTATGCTTATTAAACTAACAATTAAAATATCATCGGATAAGCCGAGATATTTTACGTTTACTACTTTCATTGACTTCCTAAATAAGTAGGATTAAATCCAGGAAATAATTCGTGAAAATAAGAAAAAATAAAATAAACATACTGCTTTTCAATGTCCGGAATAAAATCAAGTAATAACGCAGCTGCCGCAATATTTTCCTCTTCCTTACTCAAAAATCCACGGATTCTATTGTAAACTATGGACCACCACTGTCTGTCCACATCTTCTGATAAAGATGGAAGGAGACTTTTTAGCTAGAAATAAAACCAGTTAGCATTGAATGCTAAAATCAACGTATAATTCATGCTTTCCAGCATTAAAAAGCAGTTTTAGAAGTAACGATACATAAATACCTTTACAATTGCTTCCACGTTCCCTTTTCTAGCAAGAGAAAATAATAATTCATACATCGAAATTTGGTGCTTCTGCATGAAAGCGTTGATATCCGCAATTTCATCCAGCAACTGAAATAATTTCTACGACTAGCCAATGGAATCTCTCCAATACTGATTATTATTTCTACATATAAATATATATATATATATATATATATATATATATATATATATATATATATATATATATATATATATA